GAATTTTATAGAGAAAGAAGCACACACCACAGACAAAATATATACAAATCAGATACAAAGTATATACAAAGACATATTGTATAAAATTTGTATAAAAATTGTATTTAAATTGTATGATATTGTAGTTGTATCAAAATCAATCTCTCTCTAACGTCTTTCTCCTGTCGCTCCATCATCCCTATCACCGGACCTTCGGCGAACACCAGACCAGGTAAGACCCCGGCCCCACCCCACCCCTTGTCTTCTTTTCCTCTCTTTCTCTTTCTTCCTCGTTACTTCCCTTCCCCCCTCCTCCCTTTCTTTCTTGTTTTCTTGTTCCCCCTCCCCCGTGCTTTCCAGATCTGCCTTCCCCCCCTTTTATATTTTTCTTTTCTTCTTCTCCCTTCTTTCTCTCCCCTATACCTCGTCTCTTCCACCTCGTCCCCCTATTTTCTGGCGCACTGACCTAGCCTAGTGGCGGCGGCGGCTGAGATAATTTTTCAGCGACCTCGGGCGAAGCGGGCGGGAACTTTCAAAATATAGCTGCTGTGGACAACACCTTTCTCGGCACTCTTTGTGACTTCAGGTTCTATTGTTCTTGCTTAGAATTTGATATTTGTTAATATTGGACTCGTGTGAGTTGGTACCTCCCGTTTCCCAGTTTTCCTTTGTTGTGTTAGTTAAATTGTTGTCAGCTTAGTTCGTATTAGTTTATTCACCGTATTAGTGTGCCTGTAGTTGCAACTTGTCTTCTTCTGGTTTGGTCTGTTACATTGTGTGTGATAGTGATTCCCCTTACTCTGCCGTAGTTATAGTGGCTGTGGTCTGGGATGGTCGAGTGAGGTCATGTCCTCGGGTGGAACGGGGGGTGGGGCAGGAGGTAGGGCAGGGGTTAGGGAGTGGGGCGGGAGTCAAGGGAGGTAAAGGGAACAATGGTGTCTGTAGGTTGAGAATTGAGTCATGGAACGTAGGTACATTGACAGGTAAGTCTATAGAGTTGACGAAGATCCTCCGAAGAGGAGGGTCAATATAGCGTGTGTCCAGGAGACTAGGTGGGTAGGGTCGAGGGCGAAGGACGCGGACGGGTATAAACTTTGGTACTCAGGAGTCCAGAAAGGTAAGAATGGAGTAGGCATCTTGGTGGATAGGTAACTCAGAGAGTCTGTGGTCGAGCTTAGACGAGTGAATTATAGATTGATGATTATTAAGTTGGTGGTTGGAGAGTGCACCCTAAACGTCGTTAGCGCATATGCGCCGCATGTGGGCCTAGATGAGGAGGTTAAACGACGCTTATGGGAGGGGTTAGATGATATTGTGCGTCAGGTTCTGCCTACTGAGAAACTATTCATAGAAGGGGATTTCAATGGGCATATTGGGTCAACTGCAGGTGGTTATGGCGAGGTGCATGGAGGCTTCGGTTTTGGGGAGAGCAACGGATGAGGTACATCGCTATTGGACTTCGCTAAGGCTTTTGGGTTGGTGATTGCGAACTATAGCTTTCCAAAGAGAGAGAGAGAGGCATTTGTTTACTTTTCAAAATGCGGTGGCGAAGACTCAGATTGACTATCTCGTCCTCAGGAGAGGTGACAGAGGACTGTGCAAGGATTGCAAGGTTATTGCGGGTGAGATACTCGCGACGCAACATAGGCTCTTGGTGATGGACGTTGGTATTATGTTAAAGAGGAGGAAAAGGTCTACTCGAGAAAGTCCGAGAATCAGGTGGGGAGCCTTAACTAAGGATAAAGCCCAAGAGTTGGAGGCGCGGTTGTCGGCTATGGGAGCTTGGAGGAGCAGTGGTGACGCGAGCACTATATGGTCAGCGACAACAGACTGTATTAGGGAGGCTGCGAGAGAGGTGTTAGGAGTTTCGACAGGCGTCTCTGGTGGGCACAAAGGAGACTGGTGGTGGAATGAAGTGGTTCAAGGTAAAGTGGAAGCTAAGATGGCGGCGTACCTGAAGTTAGTGGGGAGCATAGATGAGGAGGAGAGGCGAGCATACATGGAGAGGTATAAGACAACTAGGAAGGAGGCTAAGTTGGCGGTCACAGAGGCTAAGACTGCGGCTTATGGTCGTATGTACGAGGAACTGGGGAAAAAAGGCGGGGAGAAGAAGTTATTCCGGTTGGCCAAGTTGAGAGAGAGGAAGGCTCGGGATTTGGATCAAGTGAGATGCATCAAGGACGAAGATGGTAGAGTATTAATGGAAGATGCCCAAATTAAGAGGAGATGGCAAACTTACTTTCATAAACTTGTGAATGAAGAAGGGGATCAGGATATTATGCTAGGCGAATTGGAGCATTCCGAGAGTTACCGTGACTTTGGGTACTGCAGGCATATCGAGGTTGATGAGGTCGTGGGAGCTATGCGTAAGATGAGTAGGGACAGAGCGACCCGACCCGACCCGTTTGCCACCCCTAATTTCACTCAATGAGTTTTCGTTTCTTTTTTAAATTTCCTATCCTATCAAACACTATCATAAAAAAAATGAGACAGAGGTGACATATTTTCTTTTTGTAGCCTTACCTTTAAGACCCAAAATATAACATAATGGCTGCAATTGTAAGTACAGTACTGCAGTTCAAATGCAATAACTTTACTGCATGCCGAAGTTTTCTCTATCCTCCTGTTTTAAAAAAAAATAAATAATACTGTAATTATTATATACCTGCCATGCATGCTATTTATTTTTGACTAATTTGAAAAGAAATTAATCCTAATAGTTGGCTATCTTGAGGCTAGGGTTGTCAAATTTGGCACATGCCCAAATGAGGCACAATTGACCCGTCAATTTATTAAACTAAGCTCACTTTGGCCCAACTCATCTCAACCCATTTAAAGTCGGTTGATTTTTAATTCAAATTGATCCATGCGTAACTTTTCCAAAATATCTTAGAAATAATTTTTTTGTTTTGTTTGATATGTTATATTTGACCATAACAAAGAAAATAAGTCTTTTTTAGTAATT